TCCTGAAGTTACATGTTAAAAGAATGTTACCAATTTATAGAACGGAAATAAAAATTCCTTAAAAGTTACCAACAAAAAAGTTGGGATTTGTCTTTAAAAGACGACTACTTTCCATTTACTCGTTTAGGTACAAATCTTGCCATTTTCATTTATGGGAGGGAAACTTGCCATATCATTGATTTTTTAAAAGATGGATTATCCAGGTGTAGAACGTGAACATCTATATGTTAGAAGTGGAACAAAATCCCTAATGTTGCTATGTAGATTGGTACAAAAAAGTACAGAATAAAATGGCAATTCTGGCCTTACAGCAACAAACATCACCTCAAAATGTATTGTTTCTTGCATTATTCCAATACATTTTGCTTCCAAATAACACAAAATGGCCACCAATATGAAACATATACCTACCTGCAAATCAGAAACATACATAATGATGAATCACGCAAAAATACAATATTGATATTTTCACTATTCATTAATATTTCAGAAAATACTATGTACACATAGGAGCAGCATATAACTGTAATTGATTACAATATTAGATTTGTAACTTGGGTTCTGGAACAAAGCAGAGACCATGTTTCAACTTGACATTAAATATTCCTTTCCTGAGGTGTGTAATAACGTCTCTGAACTGGTTGATTAGAAAAATAGATTAAATAATCCTTTCACATTATACATTGACAACGGAGTAAAGGCACCTCCTAAGCAGCAGCAACCACAATAAGCTTGAAAGATAGATGAATGAGTCTAAGGCTAGCATTTTAAACCTAAATAAGGGCAGTTGTGCAGGTGAAAGCTGAGTTAGCTGAAGTGAACTCGGACAATATGCTAGGGGGTATATAAATAGAGAAAACAGCGGCAAACATTTAAGAGTATATTTCAGAACACTCAGAATAAGTATATTCTTAGAAAGAAAAACGTAAATCTAAAAAAGTTAATGAAATCATCAAACCTAAAGAAAAATCATATAATTGCAAAGATAAGCGGCAGGTCAGATGACTGGACAGATTATAAAGCACAGCAAAGAGTGACTAATTTATATATTTAAAAAAACTGCTAATACTGGAAATCAGAAACAAAAATCAGAAATTGACAGAAAAACTCAACAGATCAGGCAGCACCTGTGGAGAGAAAGTAGAGTTAACGTTTCGGGTCCAGTGATCCTGTTGAGTTCTAATGACTAATTTAAACCTCCTCCTCTAAAAGATTGATCAGGAGGAAAAACTGGTTATGAATGTAAAAATAGATTGCAGCTATTTAAAAAGTAAAAGGCAATGGACAGCATGGTAGCACGGTCGTTAGCACTGTTGCCTCACTGTGCCAGGGTCCCAGGTTCAAAACCAGCCATAGGTGATTTTCTGCGTGGAGTTTGCATGGGTTTCCACTAGGTACTCTAGTTTCCTCCTCCCACAGTCCAAAGATGTGCGGGTTAGGTGGATTGGCCATGCTAAATTGCCCCATAGTGTCCAGGGATGTGTGTGCTAGGTGGATTAGCCATGGAACATGCGAGGTTACAGGGATAGGGAGTAGGTCTGGGTGGAATAATCTTCGGAAAGTTAGTGTAGACTCAATGGACTGAATGGCCTCTATCTGCACTGTAGGATTTAATGATTTAAAGTGAGTGTTGGTCTTCTTAGGAGTGAGAATGGGGAGTTAACAGTAGAGAATAAAGAAATGACAGATGAAATGAACAAATACTTTGCTCCTGACTTCACTATAGAGAATACGGAAGCATCCCAGTAATAGCTATATATCAGGAGTGGAAATGGAGATACAAACATAAAAACTAGAAGCAGGATTCGGCAATTTAGCTCCTCCAGCCTGCTGTGCCATTTGATACGAGCATAGTTGATGTCATCTCTGCCTCAACTCCACTTTCCTGCCCATTCCCATAACCCATCAACCCTTCACTAATTAAAAATCTCTGTTCTGAGGAAGGGTCACTCAACTCAAAACGTTCACTCTGATTTCTCTCCACAGATGCTGCCAGACCTCTGAGCTTTTCCAGCAATTTCTGATTTCGTTTCTGATTTACAGCATCTGCAGTTCTTACGGTTTTAGAACTCTGTCTCCTACTTAAATTTATTCAATGTCCCAACATCCATGGCACTCTGGGGTAATGAATTTCCCAGATTCAAGACCCTTTGAGAAGCAATTTCTCCTGCTATCCCTCGTCCTAAAAATATGACCTCTCGTTCTAGATTGCCTCACGAGGAAATGTCCTTTCTACATTTGCTCCGTCAATCCCCTTTAGTATCATAAATACTTCAATTAGAACTCCTCTCATTCTTCTAAACTCCAGAGAGAAAACTTGACGAATTACAATCACCTAAGAAGCGGTACTGAGCAAACTGATGGAGCTATAGGCTGCCAAATCCCCAAGTCCCAATGGACTTCATTCTATTATCTTAAAAGAGGTGGCTAATGGAGGTGGATAATGTGTTAGTGTTAATTTTCCAAAATTCACTGGATTCTGGAAAGATTCCATCTGACAGGGAATTAGCTATTACAGCTCCTCTATTTAAGACAGGTTGGGGACAAAAAATAAAAAAAACTATAGGTCAGTTTGCTTGATGACTGTCATCAGGAAGGTCTTAGAATCGATTATAAAGGAGGTTATAGCTTAGAGCTTAGGAAAATTTGGGGGAGTAAAGTAAATTGAGAAGAGTCAGCATGGATGTGTGAAAGGAAAATGATGTTTAACCAATTTACTGGAATTCTTTGAAAGAATAATATGAATGTACTGTACTTGAATTTCCAGGAGGCATGTGACAAGGTTCCATGTAAAAGGTTACTGAACAAAGCAGGAGATCATGGTGTATGGGGTAAAATAATAGCATGGATAGAAGATTGGCTGAATGGCTGGCACAAAACAGACAGTATATATTAATGGATTTTTTTAATGATTGGTAGGATGTAATGAGTGGAGTCCCGCAGGACTCTGTGCTAGTGCCTTAGTTCTTTACACTTTATAAAAAATGGCATAGATGAAGGGAGTGAAGGCATGGTAGCCAACTCTTAAGATGACACAAAGATAAGGTGGAAAGAACGTTGTGAAAGAATATAAGGAGGATACAGACAAATTTGACCGATTGAATGAGTTGGAAAAAAAATCTGGCAGCTTAAGTAAAGGAAAATGTTAGCATGCAGACACACCAACTATTTAAGGTGGCTAGTGGAATACCAATTTTGATTATGAGAGGAATTAAACATGAAAATAAGGATTTTATGCTTCAGTTGTGCACAGCACTGGTGAGACCATATCTTGAATACTGTGTGCAGTTTTGTCTCCTTATTTGAAGTAAAGTTGTAAACGCATTGGAGGTGGTTTACTAGATTCAAACTTGGAATGTGTAGGTTCTCTTATGAGCAAAGTTTAAAAGACTGGGCTTGTTTTCCTTGGAGCTTAGAAGGGTATGTGACTCAATTGAGGTATACAAGATCCTGAAAGGTCTTAACAAGGCGAATGTAGAAAGGATGTTTGCTCCATAGATGAGTCCAGAACTAGAGAGCAAGTTTAAAAATTAGGGTCACCCTTTTAGGAAAGAGATAATATATTTTTTACTCAGAAGTTTCTGTGACTTTGAAAGTCTGTTCCTGAAAAAGGTAGTGGAGGTAGGGAGATTTAATAATTTTAAAGAAGTATATTTTGGAAGCAGATATATTCTTGTTAGGCAAGGGAATCAGAGGTTTTCAGGGGTAGATAGGAATGTGGATTTCAAAATATGAATGTCAGCCATGACCTACATGAAAAAGCAGACTCAAGTGGCCAAATGGCCTATTGTCTGCTCCTAATTTGTGTTCATATCCATAATACTTGACCCCAAGAGGACTTGCTAACCTATACTGACCTATTCCAGGGTGCCTATTTCCACCACTCTAACAAGCTCCATTCTCAGCTCAACTGCTGGCAAAGCCCTCATCCATGCTTTTATTACCTAAAGACTTGATAATTCCAATACAGCCTTGGCCGGTCTCCCACATTCTAGCTTCTGTAAACTTGATGTCCTCCAAATCTTTGCAGCCCAAGCTTACCCGCACAAAATTCTGTTCACCTGTCAGCCCTGTGTTCACTAACCTACACTGGCTGTGGGTGAGGAACACCTCAATTATAAAATGTACATCTCGGTTTTCAAATCTCTTATGGCTTCACACCACATCTCTGTATTCTCCTTTAGCCTTACAGGTCTCAAATATCTGCACTGAATTAATTGTAACAATTGGAGCATCTCTGATTTTAATTATGCCACTAATTGGCCATCATGCCTTTATCTACACCCTCAGTTCTGGAATTTGCTCTAAATGCTCTCTACTTCTTTTTCCTTCTTTAAGATGCTCCTAAAACCTACTTCAACTACTCAACTGAAGTGCCTTGGCCATTTTATTATGTTAATGGTATTATATAAATATAAGCCGTTATGGAAAAAGACATGATAAAACTAAACGTGAAATATTCAAATGAAAGTGGGGCTAATTTTAATATGTTGAGAAAGAAAAAAGGGTAAATGCCTGAACGGGAAAAAACTGCAGGGAGTGGGTATAATTAAACAGCTCTCTAAAGAGCCAACACAGTGGAGCCAACACAGTCAAAAAAGACAAACAGCCTCCTTCTCTGCTGTATCATTCCATGAACAGCAGCTAAAGAACTCGGTAGAAAAGACAGGTTATAGTTGCCACAGAAGCATGAGAAAATCTAAATCACAAGGTAGGTTTATACAATGTGCTTTCAGAATGGCAGCAATCTAACATAAATTTTCTTTGTGAACATGTGGCAAGTGAAAAGGATAGAGGTATAATTAAGAGTTTGGTAAAGAAATCGGTAACATAAGAAAAAATAACTAAAAAGAGAAAAGAATGACATGATAGGAAGCTGCAGGTAATGCAGTGTATGTTTTAGCATTGGTAATCTACTTTATTTTTCAAAATCACCAATTTTTTTTGAACACAAATGCAGTGATACACTAATGAAAGATATCACATCACAGGTCACTTACGTTAACACATTAGCTGGCATCATCTGTGATTCTGGTGCTGCTTCTATTAATGATTGCCAAGTGTTTGTGGAATTAGGAATGACAAAGCCAAATTCAAAAAACCATTCTGGAAAATAAAAAGTAAGTTTTCATAAAGATTAAACAAATCAAGAGTCATGCTACTGATAACAGTCTAATGAATGCCATTTGCCACAGATTGATTAACTCTGTAAATTGGTTTTTATAAAACAGTAAAATGCTTTACTAACTATGAAGCAGATATCACAGCAAACCTACTGATTCGTGTGTGCAGCTTGCAGATCCACAGCAGCCTAACAGCTGGCAGAGTTACAACATTGTATATATAGATGTAGTACATGGAGTCCTTAAAGGCGAGTTACCTACAACAAGTACCATTTCTGATGAAATATTTGCAATTATTTAACTTTAATAGATGTCTTCTGCAAATTTTCATGAATCATATAGGATCTGAGGCACAGCTTGTGATGCTTATATGGTCCTGCTATGAAATTCTCGATGGACACTTTTTCCCTGTCCTTGACTTATCAAATGGAAGATTGTATACTGTTTCAAACAATCAAGCATCGAAACGGTACAGTACCGGTTGTTAAATGTAGCCTCAACTAGTCACTCACTGCAGGAATGAGTCATCAGGGAAATAGTGGCAATAAAGCTGAACCCTAGATTTTTCATAAAACATATCCAATTTTCCTATCTATTTTTCTCTTTCAGCAAGCTAAGCGGCCTGCATAGTTTGCTTCTCTGTGTTTTCTTTTACATATACCATTTCAAAGGTTGTATTTCCCTTGGGTGCAATTACCAAAGCATTCAAAATGCAGTTTGAGTAAGACTGTGCAGTTTGAGCAATGACATACTCCAACTTGTATAGTACTATTTTAGCTATGTGTTTTGGCATTCTGCTTGTAATGTTAATATCTACCCTACAATGACAGAGAATGATTAATCAGAGTTAAATTGAAGTCGAATACCACTGTATCTGTTAAAACTTAATCTGTAATTATTGCAGCACTAATCATGAAGGGTGTGTGTTGCCCAATTTTACACCTACTTGCAAAGTATAATTTAGAAATAGTAGATAATCAATAACTATTTATTTAGATGCTTCCCTCAGTAAATTTCTAAACCATCACGCCCCTAAAGCTCTAGTCTACCTTGAAGCCAATTTCTTAACTATTCCCAGATTTTATCTCTAATCCTCAGTCACAGTATGCTTAAGTAGCTGCTTTCTGAGTTATTTATTTACTAAATAAATTGGGGATTTCTTAAATGCTTTTCAGAATTTTAGATATGCCACCTAGTAAGGATTTTTACAGTTTACTGAGGATATAACTCCCATAAAATATTTTGTGAAGCAGAAATGCTCCCAGATGCACAAAATCATAGTAGGGCAAATGCTGGACTTCTGAAATAAAAGAAATAGTGGAAACGTGCAGGTGAGGCAGCATCTGTATACAGATGAACCTGAAACATTAACCCTTTTCATGACCTTTCACTTGTTGAATCTGATGAAGTATGTACAGAAGATGACTAATGCTTGAAGATGTTCCTAAATATTCATAAACAATCATAAACTATTCCTTGGGAGGATATGACAATACTACAACGGAACCATCTTTGGTTGCTTAATATTTCTGCCTCAACAATAAACTTGAAATACAATTGCAAAAGGTTGTAGAAATTAATTCTTTCTGGAATATGATAATGAATGGGACAGACTGAAACCAGTGAATTTACAAGCAGCACCCTTTAAATCTGTGGATTTACTTAGAAATGCTAAAACAAAAGGTGCCTTCCAGAAAAGGGACCAAGGATCTCTAAGGTTTTGGAGTAGATCTGTAGCTCGGGATGTGGGTGTTGAGGTTGGTTGGCTCGCCGAGCTAGTTTGTTGTTTTGCAGACGTTTCGTTACCATGCTTGGTAACATCCTCAGTGCAGCCTCCGATGAAGCGTCGGTGTGTTTTCCCGCCTGGTTTTTAAACTCTGGGGTCTGTTGAGATGGATTGCCTCACTTCCGGTTTTCCTTCGTAGTGGAATGTATATGGGGTCGATTTCAATATGTTTATTAATAGCATGCTTGTGGAGTGCCATGCTTCCAGGAATTCTCATGCTTGTCTCTGTACATGTTCAGAAGTACTTCTGTCAGAAAGTCATCAGCTTTTAACTTTTCCCAGAACATTAGAAGATTATGATGGGTCAATGGTATGGGTAGCTACAACATTTTCAATAGGAGCAGGCTTAAATGGGCTAAATGGCTTCTTTCCCTTTTTTTTCTGTTTTAATGAATGAGTAGGAATAAAAGGGTCAGGAAAAGAACAGATTGACAAACTGGATTGAGTTGCTCTTCATCTACAAAAGTGCTATACAATGAAGCTCTAAAACAGTCTCTCCTAAACAACGCCTACGGCCCAGCTTCACTTACCCATCCTGCTTAGAATTATGGGAAGAGGTGTGAAGACAAGTGTTTGGAGACAATGCACGTTAGTAAGAGTCATCAGCCTTAACTGGTGGTTTACCGAGGAAAACTCAGATTTCAAAGAGCTATGGGTTAACAAGCTCGGTATACATCAATTGACCATGCAGAAAATCATAAATAGTCCTAATACACTAGACTGCAATGTCAAGGGTAGATGAGACTCTTCAGCCTGCTCAGCAGCTCATCTCGGAGAAGGATAACTTCAAAATCAAATCTATATCCTTTCAGCTGTACAGCAGTATTAGCTCCTTTGATGAATAAATAGAAGAGGTTCAACACAACCCCGTCCACTTCAATATACTCAATGACCAGAGATACAGCAAGTCATCAATCAAAGCAGACATAGCAAGCCCTGTGGTAATGAGAAAGGAATGCTGGGGACGGATGTTACTGCAGGCTTAAGATATAACACATAGGAGTCCTTGATGAAGAAACTTTGACATTTGAGGACAACAGAGTAAAGTGTCTTCAGGAAGTGAGCATGTCTCAAAACAATGCCTCAACCCATTCTCCAGCACTGACGTCATATAGGATTTGCAATTGGTTACACAAATCAAGACTTGGTCTAATATCACATATGAAATGACATCAACCTAGACTGTAAACCAAAACAGAAATTGCTGGAGCAGCTCAGTAGATCTGACAGCACCTGTGGGGAGAAAGTAGAATTAACATTTTGAGTCCGGTAACTCACCATGAGAACCTCTAATATAATGCTACCACAATACAATTAAATAAGATAATCACCTTCTAAGCACTGTCCTTTGAAGAAAACCTTTTGCTCTAGTCTGAACTTTTCCATCTGTTCAGATGAGGAAAAGTTTAACTCTCGGGAAATAGCTTTGCATTTTAGGATCTTTTTAGGAACACGAGCTGCAGAGAAATCAAAACAAAGAGATATTCCATGATTTTCCATTTTGAACTGTTCAACAGAATATCCAGTTATATAAATATTATCATGAGGCACAAAAGTTGAGTCCAAAATCATCATTTTTGGTGGAGACAGGAAGGAAGGAAATAAACAAGCACAAAAAGTAAATTACAACGGAAACCATAAAAAAAGGCCCAGACTTCTGGTCAGCAATGTTAAGAGCATTGACACTGACTGCAATGATTTCTGTGACCCATCTCTTTCATGGTTTTTCAGCTGAAACTTCCAAAGCCTGCTGAAGTACTGGAGGGTCAATACAGCCATCCACAGAGTTGATTGTAGGGTGCAAGAAAAGACGGATGAAGAAAGGCCAAGGCCATTCTTTATGACATTAGCTGCTATACTCAGGAAAACATGTAAAGGCTTAAGTCTTTCAGTGGATTAGTGAGTAGGTGGTACGTTGGATAATTGGGTTGCGCTGGGAGTCACCTGGAGAAAGATGGGATTGGACCGTGTCAGGGGTTGAGGGGGAATGATTTGTGGTGGGGGCGGGGGGTAGGGGTGCAGGGGTGCAGTTCTCAGTCCAGTTACGCCTGTTAATCTCTAAATTAGACCAACTGTTTACTAGAATAACTTCCAGGGTAAGTTTGCATGGAAGCCCTGGATCTAGTCAGAATATCTGACAGAGTTCCATGGTGAAGACTTTCAAGGAGGAACCCCGGCAATACAGAGGAGCCCATTGGAAGCTTGCTTTTCCAGAGAATTATAGCACTTGTGTGTCTATCAGGATTTCTGCAGGATCCTGACACACATCTCCCAACTTGCATCCAATCTCTAACAATCTGGATTCTGGAAGATTTGGGCCATTAAGTCAAATACATAAGCAGACTAGCTGCATATCTCATCTTAACATCTGACATAAAATGCCTTTCAGAGAAAAAAAAATGCCATCTTTCCTTAATAATTGAAATTCTCAAATGTCCAAAGCTTATTTTAGAAAAGGAAATCAAGATCAAAAATGTGTGCCACAATAACCTGATTAAATTCATAATTTACATTTTTTATTTTTTATAATGTCTCAAAACCAGGACTTGGCACTTTTGTCCAGATATGTAGATATATCATCTGATTTGAGACTGCCCCGCATAAGGACACATAATGCAACTAAAATCAGGATGCATTAGTAAGGTGTGGTGAACAGTAATTCACTAGCTTTGTTGCTGGATTAGAAACCAGAGATCTGGACTAATCATTTTCAGGCAACAAGGTTGTTTTTTTTTAATCTTCCTCTCCTAGCTGGGACTTGGTGCACTACACTGACTGCAAAACTGAAAGCAGTATGAGGAGTTACGAACTTTACACTTGTTCTTTCCTGTGTGAACTGTACTTTTTGGTATCATCAAAAGATCACCCATAGCATTGTTCACTACCAGTTAACATTTTTGAAATAATAGTAGTGTCACACCAAGAAACATAATCAGACACACTGATTAATCAGGATTGTGGGGTGAAGGAACTGAGGTCCAGAAGGGGTCAAAAGCCTACAAGCACTAGAATTGTGTTTCAATCTAGTTCTATAACAATTCCAAATGAAGGAATAGGCCAGTCACTATTATTAGTTTCTTATGTAGATACATTCTACTGGTATAATGCTTTGTCATTTAGAATTCAGACAGAAGTGCTGAGGGGATGGTCCATCTCAGCCTCCTCCTGAGATCCAACATCATATGTGCCATTATTCAGCCAATTCAATTCACTCCACATTCCATCAAGAAATGACTGAAGGCCCTGGCTACTGTAAAGGCTGTAGGTCCTGACAACATCCCAGCAATCGTACTGAAGACTTGTGCTCCAGAACTAGCTATCCAAGCAGTACAGCTACAACATCTACCTGGCAGTGTGGAAATTTGCCTAGGTATGTCCTGTACACAAAAAGCAGGACAAATCCAATCTGGCCAATTACTGCCAAATCACTCACCTCTCAATCATCAGCAAAGTGATGGATTGGGGCATAAACTGTGCTATCAGTGCCACTTGTTCAGCAATAATCTACTCACTGACACTTCACTTGGGTTTCACCAGGGCCACTCAGCTACTGAACTCAGTGCAGCCTTGAGGTGGGATGAGAGTAATTGCCTTAAAAGCAAGATTGTATAGGATCACCATCTTCAGCTGCTTTATCAATGATCTTCCTTCCATCATAATGTCACAAGTGGGCATGTTCATTGATGATTACATACTATTTACCACCATTCTCAACTCCTCAGATACTTTAGTACCTTGTGCCCATATGAAACAATATCTTGACAATGTCCAGGCTTAAGCTGTTAAGTAGCAAATAACATTCATACAACAGATGCTATGCAATGACCATCTCAAACAAGACAGACTCCAGCTATCTCCCCTTAACATTTAACAATATTATCATTGCTGAATCTCCCCTGATATTAATATCCTTCTGTTGCTAACATCAGTGCCTGCCCTTTTACTGCTGCCCTAATTCCTCCTGATCGATACATTATTGTGGAACTTGTGCTCCTACTGCTTACCCCAACAAAAAACAAATTTCTATTCAGTTGTGGGTAGCCACTGCTGTCAACTTCTGCTGTTTACCAACGACCTATTCGCACTTCCCTCTGCCTTTATACTTCATTCTTGAATAATCAGCTACAAATAAATATATAAAGCGTATGCCAGTGAGCGTTACCTATACCAGGAGGTTCAGCATTTCCAGATGTTTATATTAAGTTCCTGCACAAGGAAATATGTAGATCCATGTTGTTATCTAATTCTCACATATCCATGACTCACTCTCAACCTGAAGCTGCACCAACTCCGCTTCAATTCTCTTCCTCTCAACTCCTTGCCTCAAGATTATCTGAATATTCAGATTATAGAATCATAGAATTCCTACAATGTGGAGGCAGGCCACATTCTGCCCATCAAGTCTACTCCAACCCTCTGAAGACCATCCCACCCAGATACCCACCCCCATCCTATCCCTTTTACTCTGCATTTCCCATGGCTAACCCACCTAACCTGAATATCCCTGGGCACTGTGGGTAATTTAGCATGGCCAATCCACCGAAACTGCACATCTTTGGACTGTGGGAGGAAACCGAAGCACTCAGCAGAAACCCAAGCAAACGTGGACAGAATGTGAAAACGCCGCACAGAAGGTTGCTGGAATTGAATCCAGGTACCTGGTGGCGTGAGGCAACAGTGCTAACCACTGAGCCACTGTGCTGCTCTGATATGTTAATGGTTTTCTTGATTTCATGTCACCAGTCATTCTTATCAGCAGACTTTGCAACTCTCCACTATATGTTGTCTATCTTCTTTTATACAATATCTAAATCACTACTGGTTAACTTTGATATCAAATAGTTGTCCACAAAGACATTCATTTTGGGTACATTGCTCATTCACCAAGGCATTACAAATAAATTAACGATAATAACTAAAAAAAAGAGAATTGTTCAATCACAGAAGTCTAACATTAACAAAAATCTTTTAAAAATCACAGAATTGTTACGGGTGCAGAGGAGGTAATTCAGCCCATCGTTCCTGCACTGGTTCTAATACCTAGTCCCATTCTCCTACCTTTTCCCTATATCGCTGCACACCATTTCTATCCAAATAATCAACCAATGCTTTCTTGAATGCTTCAACCGAATTGGCCTCACCACATTTCCACGCAGTGCATTCCATACCCTAACTACTCGCTATGTGAAAGTTTTTTTCTCACTTTATTTTTGCTTTGTTTACATATCACTTTAAATCTATGCCCTCTAATTCTTTTTACTTTTACGAGTGGAAACAGCTTCTCTCCTATCTACAGTATCCTGCTCAATCATGATTTTGAAAACTTTTATCAAATCTCTTCTCAACCTTCTTTTCTCCAAGGATAACAGTCTCAATTTCTTCAATCTATCCTCATAACTAAATTTTCTCAGTCTTGGAATCATTCTTGTAAATCACTTCTGCGCTCTCTTCAATGTATTCACATCTCTCCTACAATATGGCATCCATAACTGTACACAATATTCCAGCTGAAATCTAACAAGTGTCTTATACAAGTTCAACGGTACCTCTTTGCTCTTGTACTCTATGCCCTTATTAATAAAAGTCAAGAACACTGCATACTTTACTAACTGCTCTCTTCACCTGTCCTGCCACCTTCAATAACTTATTCACAAATGCGCCCAGGTCTCTCTGCTACTTAACCTCCTTTAGAATTGTATCCCATACCTTATATTGTTTTTCAACATTCTTTCAACCAAAGTGCATCACATCACACTTCTCTGCAGTAAGCCTCATGCACTACCTAGCTGTCCAGTCCAGTAACTTGTCCTTTGGAATTCCAACGTCCTTTTGGATTTCCACAATGTCCTCCTCACAGTTTAGAACTCTTCAAAATTTAATGTCTTTTGTAAACTTTGAAATTGCCCCACACACCAAGATCCGAATCATTAAATATATATCAGGAAAAGCAAGGGTCCTAATACAAACTCCATAAACTTTCCTCCAGCCTGAAAAATATTCACTGACCGCTACACTGTTTCCTATCACTCAGCCAATTTTGTATCCATGTTGCTACTGACCTGTAGCAATGTGCTACAACTTTCCTCACAGGTCTGTTGTGTGGCATTATATCAAACACCTTCTGGAAATCCATATATACTGTCATCAGCCCTTTCTATTACCTCTTCAAAAAACTCCAGCAAGTTATTCAAACATGATTTTCCCTTTAGTAATCTGTGCTGACTCATCCTAATTAACTCACCTTTTTCCATGTCATTATTAATTCCATCCCAAGTAATTTTTTCCAGAAGTTTTCCTACCACCAGAATTAAACTAATTGGTCTTTAATTGCTGGGATTATCCTTACAACTTTTCTCAAACAAGGCTGTAATGTTTGCAATCCTCCAGAATGCTGGTACCTCCCGAGTCCAGAGTAGATTTAAAAATTATGGCCAGTGCCCTGCAATTTCTATCCTCA